CCTCGATTGAGGACATTGTGGACTTTTTGGGCTCCTTGAGATCATAAGTTCAGTTCTTTTTTTGTATAGCTTGGGACACGTTCCCCTTTTGAACGCCTTCTAATACATTTTACTTATCAAAAAAAAAAAAATGTATGCACATGTATGCCGAAGCAAAGACCCATCTCACTTTCTAATTTATTCTTTCCACAAAACATTAGAGCTGTAGATCATCTTCAAATTCATTCAATCCATCTGGGCTTCTAGCTTGATTAAGGAGACTTCAATCAAAAGATTTACTATGTATTCAAGATTGTATCAAGCAACAATCAAGATCCATTGTTTCTCCCATGTATATACATACACTCTTATATATATAACATGTGCGACGCACGTGAGCGAAATTGTTTGTATGACCGTAAAGTGAAAAATGTATAAGGATAATTTTTGTATAGAATTTTGTGTGGAATTTTTTGGGGTCTATTAGCAAGAGAATTGTTTTTATATATGCATTGAAATAAATAATATTATAAAATTTAAATATAAGAATAATGTTGTGTATAGAATTCTTAAGAGTAATTGTTAGAGTTTAGGAATTTATTAGTAGTTGATACACACAGGATATTTTCATTGTGCCCTCATCCCTTGACTTAAAAGTGAAGCTTGATAGTATGCCTGAGAAAGAGAAAAGAGAGGTGGTAGTATTGGTTGCAGCTATAAAGAAAAAGATATCAGTGTAGCTTGTCAGCAGCTTGGGTTGTGTTATGGGTTGTGTTTGGTAGGGTAGAGCTTCGATCTCTACCATCAGTTTCTATTCAAGAAGGGGGACACTTATTGACTATTGGGCCTCTTTGACCCAAGAATGGAAACCCAAAGTTCAATGGACTATTCATTCAATTAGTTTATCTATTCGCTTGGTCTCTTCCTAAAACTTGAATTCTTCCTTGAATACTCAAGGCACTTCAGGGAAAGGCAAGTGCGGTAGCGATAGAGGCGGCATTCAAAAGTATGAGCGAGATAGAAGAGAATTTACTGAGAAATCTTCTTCTTTTTGAGTTCACTTTAGGAATAGAGCTAGCAGGATATCCTTTGAACCCTTCTAGCTGATAAGCATTGAATTTTGCATATTCGAGCCCTTAAACGTGCATATGTTAATGTCTTAGTAATACTTATATTTTGGTTTTTATGTTTGTTTTCGTTTATTTGCTTTTTGTAGGTTTTTACCCAAAGAAATGAACAATTCCAAGTATTTAAAGCTTATGGCAATGTCCCGATGCTTAAGGAGATGTTTTGGACCTTCCGAGTTGACTTTGGGTGCAACCGAGATGATTTGAAGCAAAATGACCTTAAAAGCTCGGGCACTAGGTTCTTGTGCTTGAGCACTGCCCAAAGCTCGAGCATTGACTCTGAATGCTCGAGCACTCACCATAGGGAAGTTGAAAAATTGGCTAAGTATGCAAAGCTCGAGCACAAGACTCCAGTGCTTGAGCATAATTTTGGCTGGGAACATCAAAAGACGCTTCAGAAATCTCAGATCAGCTAGTGCTCGAGCACAAATGCCTTAGAAAAATTCTGATTGCATACGGGAAAGTCATAAATCTCTCCCTTTTTGTTTCCTTATGGGACTAATTGTCCCCAGAAGCTGTAAAGCCCATCCAAAAGGGATTAGGACTTTAAGATCATTATAAAAGGAGAGAAGACACATTGAAAGTTTCTTCTTGTCTCTTGGCTTCTTGGCGGCTTTTAAGGTTTTGAAAATTGAAGATTCCAATTGGCGGTCCATGTAGAAGATTTCTGCAACAACGATGATATCTTCCTTCTCCGTGTGTAGCTAAATCATCTCTTAGGGCATTGATCTAACTCTAGACTAAGTAGCATGGTTTGATTGTTCTTAACTTTGAGGATTTCTATGAATTGTGTATATCGATTGCATGGTTGTGAGCAATTGACTTAGTTGTACTAAGCAATTGGGTTTTAATGATTAATATCAGTTTTAATTAAATTAATCTCTTGTCTTAGAATTGATTTTATTATAATTAAATTCAAACTTCTCTTATTTTCTGTGATTATAGGAGTAGTGATCATGCAATGGTGCTTAATGAATATATGAATGAATGTTTTGATAATTCATGCCTAGAGAAAACGAGTTGTGTTGCATGGTAAATTAGAGTAGTAGACAATTTGTGCCGACCGAAGATGAGTATGGCTTAGTGTTTGCTCATATATACCTTCTTAATTGAATTGAAGTGTGATTGTAGCCACTTAATTCCCGAATATGCATAAGTATGAATTCCCAATTAACCATGTTATGAGGCTAATGGTGAAGTCAATACCCCAAGTACCCATTCTCTTGATTAGGGATGGCAACGGGGTTGGTTTGGAGCAGGTTTGCCTAAACCCGTGCCCATCTCGTTTATTTATTGACAACTGACCCGCCCCGTACCCGCAATAGGTTGAATTTTCATAATCCATCCCTGCACCGTTGGGACATGATTGTACCCGTGCCCACCCCATTTAGGATTTTATTTATTTATTTTTATTATTTTGAATTAAGCAATTTATAAATGTGTAACAGTTACATAGGTTTCAACGTGAGCTTGACACAGAAGGCAAAGGGCACAAAAAGAACATTAAAAATGAAGGCCCAATGGCCCAGTGCAAGGAAGTTAGTCCATACCAATAAGGAGTTAATGTTTAGGTTAACCTAAGTTACAAGACACGTATATACACATAAATATATATATATATATAAATAAATTTTTTAAAAAGAAAAAATATATAAGGCGGGGCGGGTGTTCGATTTTGTGCCCATACCCGCCCCTATGGTATAAAAAGCCTATACCCGTGATTAACGGGGCGGGACAAGGCGGAGCTCCAGCAGGGTGGTACAAATTGCCATCCCCACTCTTGATACCTATTCTTATAAACTTAGTTTAATTTCAATTAATTGCAATTTAGAAGTAGATAAACAACACAATTCTCTCTCTTTGAATCAAATAAGAATTAATTTTACACTTAACAGTACCAACACGGTCCTTGAGGTTCGACACCCTCTAAATAGCCCTATCCTACAAGGATTCATTCTATTGCGAATGATCTTGTAGAATTGACACACATCACTAGTTGCGCGCACACCTTTTACCAATGGAAAATTTCCTCGATTCTTGTAGAGAATAAAATTAGAAAAAAAGGTAAAGTTATATTTAAGAAAGAGTTAGATGGAGAACATAATAGAAATGGTATATTTATATTATTAAAAATGAATTATAAATAAAGAATAAATAAATAATGTACGGATAGTGTTGAAAAATAAGTAAATAATGTGGTGGTCAATCGTTGTTACTTGTGCCTTTGCGATGAGGAGACAGTTGATCACCTTTTGTTACATTGCAACATGGCTAGAGCTTGTTGGCATTTGATGCTTGGTTTGTTTGGGGTTCCTTGGGTTATGCCTTGTTCCTCTAGAGGATTGATTGAGGCTTGGAGAGGTTTCTCAGCTAGGGCTCTCATTCGGGATGCTTGGAGGGCTACGCCTTTCTATATTTGGTGGTGCATTTGGCTTGAGAGGAATAGTAGATATTTTGACAGAAAGGAGAAGCCTATTGCTATGCTTAAGTTCTCCATTATTTCTACTCTTTTTTGTTGGGTTTCGGGGAGAGATTATAGATCTATTGAGGAGATTATTCTTTTTTTAGCCTCTTTGAAGGCTTGAGTTGTTCTTTGTTTGGCCTTTTTGTATGTTTGGGATCCGCTCCCCTTTTGAGCGGTTTTTATATATTTGACTTACTTGTCAAAAAAAAAAAAAAAAAAGAGTTAGAAATAGAATTGAATTAGGTAAATTTATTAAAAATGTATTATAATAAATAAATAAATAATCTACTAAAACCCAAATTAATCTGTACCAAACTCAATAATGTACTGAAATAATAAAGTGAAACTCTTTAATATAAACCTAAACAAAGAATTATTATAATATGCTTAAAATAAATAAATAATGTAGTAAAACTGTTTAATAAACCAAAATAAATTATTATTATAATGGGAAGAGTTAGAAACAGAATAGAGTTAAGTAAAGGGTTAAAATCATAAAACCTCCCTCTACTTTCAAAATCGCGGATAAAACCCCAAGTAGAATAAAAAATAAAAAATAAAAACCAAATTTATCAAGTTACCCCAAACCCGTGACTGACCCATTAAATGGTGTGAAATGTCAAATTTGACCTTGCTATTTAATATTAAATTAAAAGCTATAATTATTATTTTAAAACTACAAAAATACTGCTTTATAATAATATTATTTAATGTTAGTTGGGTTGTTATCTGGCTAGATATAGATGACCCATTTCTCACCTCCAGTATTATTTTTGTCATTTTAAAATAATAATTATACACTTTAATTTAATATTAAATAGCAAGGTCAAATTTGACATTTCACAACCCATTTAATGGGTTGATCGCCTGGGGGGTGGGTTTATGATTTTAACCCTTAAGTAAATTGAATTGAAAAGGTAAATTTATATGATTAAAAATGTATTATAACAAACAAAAAATAAATAAATAATGTACTGAAACTCAATAATGTATTGAAACTCTTGGTCCTTTTAATAATAGTATAGATATAGATAATAAAATACAGATATGGATAAATACACACTGTTATTTTAAATTTAAAACTAAATTTTCAGCAAGGTTAATTTAGTAATTATTTGCCCAATCTACGGGGAGGTAAGTGTAATCATCCAAATTACAGGGGAGGTTTTTGTTATATGCTCAATCTATGGGGGAGGCAAGTGTAATTCACCCGATAATATATATTTATATATATATAGATAACAAGAAGAACAACAAAAGGTCAGATCATAGCCCATCCAATGATGATGCATGCATCTTAGAATTCCAAAACCACCAACGAATTAGGAAAGAAAATCAATTGAATTAACTACTCAATGTTTCTCAAACGGAGTAATATACGAGATGCGCATTTCATTAGATGATAGAGTAATTATAAGAGAGAGACTTACATTGCTCCCTTTCCAAACTTGATATAGCCTCTTGGGTCTTGGTTTCTTTTGTGCCATTAGGTCTGAATGAATGTAGTAGAAGATGGACCCAAAATTGACTGTTGTTGTCGTAGTCTCCAATTATAGCAGTCTCCAATTAAAACATTTTTCTTCTTGTTGTACTGCTTCGTGTAGTATCCATGAGCGAAAGAAGATATCAGAAATCAAAACCAATGTTGTCGACTTGGAAATTGTACGTATATAATTGATCGATCTTCTTGTTTAAATGCAACGATGATGGGTTTGGGTATGATTATATCAGAAATTGAGGGAGATTTGAGTTGAAACGGAGGGAAGAAGGGCGTTGGGTGGAAGGCGGCGGTGTGAGAAAATCAGCTGCTTCTGCTCTGTCTGTCTCACCTATTTCCTTCTCGGACGATTAACCCAAGAGTACTTCACCCCGCTCTCTCTCTCTCTCTAAAAGTCACACAAACACAACCTCTCTCAGCTGGCAAATGTTACCTGCCGCTACGGCGGATCTTTCAAGTTTGTAGCAGCCTTTCCGCGGGTTAAATTATTATCAATAATTAAATTTAATTATTACTATTTCCCCACTCCTAATTAATTAATGCTATTAACTAACATATATGCCTGGCATCCTTTGCTTTCCCTTGTTGCTGCTGTAACGCTAACTAACGTGCTGGCACAGCATATTTATATATGATACTTTAATTTAAATCTGTCTACTTGTAATACACACCCGGCACGTTATTTTAAACTTTTATAAGTTTTATTTCTGCCGAATCAGCTCAAACAGCAGGTGCTTTTACACATATGAGAATATGAGATTGCCAGCCTTTTCCATTTTTTTTTTCTTTTCTTTTTTCTTTGCGAATTGCAATAAATCCCATTTGACTTTTACAGTTTTGCATTGAACCTTCTTTTCATTATTATTATTTTTTTGGCAATCCCCCATTAACCGCAGGTTTACTTTAAAATACCCACCAAGTCAAGGGGGTAACATATATTATTTTTTTCATTTTTATTTACTCATATTATATATTATTATTTATATTTTTTATTTTATACAATGCATATATATATATATATATATATATATATATATAGGCATTTGAACAAACAATTAGATGGACAAAAATAAATCTTAATTATCAAAAATTATTGAATGCCATAAAATAGCTATTAATCCTACATTAGTTCAACTTTATTGTACCATGTATATGTAAATATGTTTATATATGTGTGTATGGTTGAAAAATGAAAAGTGTGAACCTTTTTTTTTTTTTTTCAATAATTGAAATGCGTAAACTTTATAATAGATCATTCATGTAAAGTATTAACTTTATTCAAGAAGGCATATTACGGATCGTTTATAATTTACCTCTTCAACGTAGTAGGCTTATCTTTCATTTAAAGAAAAGAAAATGTTTTGGTTGCATTGGACAAAAAAAATTCAGGGAAAATATTATTGCATGATTTTATTATGCTATAAATGTTCTAAAGAAATAACAAGTATTGCACTCGTAACTATGAATTTTACTTTTTATTTTTATTTTTTATTTTTTCTATAACTAAAAATATAGTGATGGATGTAACATAAAATACAAATTCAAATATTTAGTATTTGAGAAAGGGAATCTATATATATACGCTTTCTCAAATAGTATATATATATATATATATATATATATATATATATATATATATATATATATTAGCAAAATTCACAAAATTGGGTGAATTGCATAAAACCCCCTTGACTTGGTGGGGTATTTTAGTAATTATTCCTCTAAAGTAACCCTGTTTAATTGGAGGGGCTTTGTGCCAAATAAATAAAATTAAAAGGGGGTAATGCAAAAGGTAACAAGTCAAGAGGATTTAATGCAATTCATTTTTTTCTTTCCTTTTTTTTTTTAATTTTTAGGTCACATGGGAAAAGTGGCCTTGATCACAAAATTCATATGGTGCTATAATTTTTCAAAATTCAAAAAAATAGTTAATTTGTAAATTGTACATTGTACACTAAAAATTTATTAAAAATTTCAATTAGCCCCTCAGATTTTTTTTTTTTTTTTTTTAAAAAAAAAAAAAAAAAACGCATCTACATTAGCTCCAAAATAGGGTTTGTAAATAACTTTGCCTTGTATTATTGAAACTTATATAAATCTTTAACTTGGATCCTTTTAGCCATACTTTAGAAATTTTTCTTATTTTTTGGGGCGGAATTTTTCTTATTTTTTATTTATACCCCAAAAAAAATAGTTAATTGGTAAATTGTACACTCAAAATTTATTAAAAATTTCAGTTAGCCCCTCAAATTTTTTTTTTATAAAAAAACACTTCTACATTGGCTCCAAAATAGAGTTTGTAAATAACTTTGACTTGTATTATTGAAACGTATATAAATCTTCAACTTGGACCCTTTTAGCCATACTTATGAAAGCTCGAATTGTGAAACAAAAAATTAAGTTCATTATTATTGCAATCATTACCGCAACACAACGTTATTTCATTACATATACACATGTAAAATAGGGTCAAGTGCAAAAAACACCGCTAATGTATACTTTGTGTAGCAATTTCACTCCTTATTTGAAAAAGTGTGCTAAAAACACCAATGTTTTTTTAAAATTGTGCGAAAACACCCCTCAATAAAAAATCTGACATAAAGTAGTGCTATAATACCCGTTTTACACTTTTACTATTCCGAAAATGCCCAAAGGGGGGTGTATGCTAATAATCTCATAGTATAAGAGGTATTATGTGCACATTAACTATATTTAACCCAGTTTTAAGAATTTTTTTACTTTTTCGGGGAAAAAAAAAAATTAAATCTCTCTATATTTCCGCTAACAGTGTATTATCTCTTAAAAAAAGAAAAAGAAAAAAAGAATTGTTTGTCACAATTGTCAAACAGTATATCATATGGAATAAAAACTTCAGTTCCTTTTATAATTATGGAAAAGAAAAAAATTATTTCTAATTAAATTTTTATATAGTTATCAATTTTCATTAAAAATATAATTAAAAATAATTATTCATTGTATATAAACAATATATATTTAATTTTTTAAACTTTAGAATTTGCAATAAATTTTCACACACATATATATATATATATTTGCATTGCAACAAATGGGTATTCAATCTTTATTGGGAAAAAAAACAAATAAATGGGTGTTCAATCGCCTACCATCATTGTACTATTCAAATCACGATAAAACTACGTTCTCAATTAAATATAATCGTTAAGATCAAGAGATTCAAAACAATAATAGTTTATAAGGTGCAGAAAACACCCCTATAATAAGCTTACCCCTCATGTACTAAATGGCCAATTTTGTCATTTCATAAAATGATGCATTTTTAAATAATATGTAAAATGTGTATATAAGGGCAATTTAGTCAAGGTATAACTTAAATGTGTCAAGAGTGACCTATTTGCACCAAATTGAAACTTTGGGGGTGTTTTCTAGCACATGAGGGGTGTGATTTGCACTGTAAGCATACTATAGAGTTGTTTTCTGTACTTGACCCGGCAAAATATCTATTATATTAATTCAAGAGATAAAACGAGAAAAATATGCCCCCTCCTGTTTAATAAAACTATATAAACCTTTTTTGTCAAACATCGTCATTATCATCGCCATCCTTGCCTTGATCCCACAGCCACATGATTTTTTTTATTATTTTTTGCCATTTTATTTTATTACAAAGAATAGTTAATTTTTAAAAATAATTTCTAGTGATTTCATCCAATATTAATTTCGAGGGTCCTCTTTGTCTCATCGGTGCATTTATAAGTCTTTTGTGTATATGTCCATGCCACCTAAGTCTACTCTTTGTAATCTTGTCACTAATAGGCGTCGGCCAAATTTCTCCCTCACATTTTGGTTTGCGACCCTATCTCTTCTAATGACTCCTATCATCTACCTTAATATTATCATTTTCGCTACATAAATTCATTGTTCTTCTTTTTTAAAGCCCGACATTCTACACCATTTAACATAGTTGGCATAATAACTGTTATATAAAATTTTCTTTTTAGTCTATGTGACATTCGTTTATCACACAAAAAATTAGTAGCTTGCATCTTTTTGTTCAACCTGAGAGCATTGAGAAAAAGGAGAAAGTGTTGTGAGTAGGGATGGCAATTTGGCCCGCCCCCGCAGTTACCAGCCAGTTACCCGCCTCGTTTTTGGCAGTTTTGGGGAGCCGTTTAACTTATAAGGGTGGGATGGTTTGATGTAAAAAAAAACCCGCGCAGATTTGATACAGGGGCGGGGAGAGGTCACCCCGCCCCGTTTAGACAGACAAATTACTTAAGTACCCTTATTTCATTAGTATATATATTTTTCAGTATATTTATTAAGTACCCTATATAACAATATTAAAGCAACAAATGAATTTGATTAGAAGGAAAGTTGCAACAGTGAAGAACTGAAGATGTGTGAAAAAAAAAAAAATAGCAAATCTATTTCAACAAGAAATAAATTATGGTCTTAAACGGGGAGGGACGGATACCCGCGGGAGTAAAAATGTTTAACGGTTGCGGGCATGGGGTGGAAAGTCCCCCCATTTTTGCGGTTTTGGGCTGGGACGAGGGCGGGGTTTTTAAACGGTTGCGGAGGCAGGGGAGGGTACACCCGCCCAAACCCGCCCCTATTGCCATCCCTAGTTGTGAGACTGTGAACAACAACAATGATATCATATATATTAATACTTTTAATTGTCACTTCCTAAACGAAAGCTAATAAAGTAATAATGTTGTTTTTGTTAAAATTTGTGAAATTTTATTTAGTTAAAATCATTATTTTTTTCTTAATCTTCCATCTAAGTAATCATTTTTCTTAATCATTTTTCCAAAAATTGAATTTTTGATCATCTAATAATGTGTTTTTTTTTTCCCCTTACCTCTTCTCTTCTTAATTGTAATTGTTTCCTCTTTTCTATATTTTTTGTTCCATATCCATTTTTCATCTATTTATTTAAGTTATATTTTTCTTAACACATATATATTAGGGTAAAGTGCAGAAAACTCCTTGAACTCAAGCCTATCACGTGACAACCCAAATTTAATTAAATAACTATACATCCCTTATGAAAGGTAAAAGACCATAGTTCCCTTCTATTACCGTTTGCCCTATTTCTCATTCGTAATAGTCCCTAATTCCCTTTCACTCCATCTTGCCTCATCAGTCGATCAAGACTAAACCTACCCCCCCCCCCCCCCCCCTCTCTCTCCATATATATAGCATCATTCCGTTCAATTTTGTGAAGGGGTGTGTGGTGTGTATACACACATATAAATTAAAGAAATTGACGCTTAGAAAATGGAATTTGATAGCTCTACTCCGGCAACTCTGAAAAAAGAAGTATTTCAAAATCAAGAATCACATAAAAACTTTGGTATATATATATACACACACACACTAGTAAAAATGCATGTGTAATGTACGTGAATAACAATCAATGTAAATGTAATTCAAGTAAAAAAATTTAAAATAAAAATATAATATTGAAGTTTATAGCATA